CAGCCATTTTCTCCAGGGTAACTGATTTCAGTTGTTTGGAAATCATTTGTAATAGCAGGAGATCTCCAGCCACCAGCTGGAGGCTGGCAACCCCAGTCACAGGCAGGACTCTTGTCTGAGTGGGGAGTGCTATGATGGGTCTCTTGCTGGAAGTGGCGACACATGTCCATGCTCAAGGCTCATAATTTATTTGTTTATTTATTTCATTAGATTTTTACCCCGCCCTCCCAGCAAAGCCAGCTCACTCTCCCCACTCCAACGCTTTTTAGCTGTGGAAACAAGCGTGTTCTTCTCTCCCCCCACCCTCTCTTGCAATGTTCTCCCTCCCCACCGTCAAATATTTCCCTTCTCTCCTTCACTCTCCGTTTGTCTCTGCCTCCTCACGTAGTACCTAGCCCCCCAGACGCTGTCACCATGGAACTCCTCCCGGATATGACAGTGAACCTGCAGTGGAAGTGCCCCAAATACCCCAACGGAGAAATACTGAAATATGGACTGAAGTACCATTTAGGTGAGTCTGAGGAGGGTTTTGGCTTTGCCCGGGTGCCGAGTTGCACTGGACACAGGAAGGCTTGCTAGAACACACCCCGAGATATTTTGGACCTCTTCATGATTGCTTTTGAAAACATGATTGTTATAATAATTTCGTAAGACTCTTTCCAGGACCCTTTTTCTTGACAGGTACGGTGGGCCCTTGTACTCTTCTTTCTGAAATCCTTTTGAAATATTTGAAAACTGTCCACACACATAGGGTTGTCAGGTTGCCCCGGGAACTGGCAGGGGTGGGGTGACTTACCAGCAGTGAGGGGAGGCCTGGCCCGTTGTCATAGCAATGTCACCAGCGACATGGCAACGTCACTTCCGCCACACACCAGAAGTGATGTCGTTGCATCGCCAGTGATGTGAGACCCTCTAGGATTTGTGGGGAAACTCTATGGTAGAAGCCGTTTTTACCTCGGAGTTTTTGCCAAAATACCAGAGCATCCCACACCGCTTTTGACGCAATGATGTCATTTCCTTTTTTAAAAAGTTTTATAAAGTTTATTAAATATCAAGTTATACATTAGCAGTTTCCTTCTATGTTCCCCCGTGAGCACTTCGGTCCGGGACTCAACATCTCCTGGCAATGCCAGGTCCCAAAGAGGCCAGGCTGGCCGCTACCAGGGCCAGGGCTTTCTCGGTGGCGGTTCCTATCTGGTGGAACGAGCTCCCGGAGGAGATCCGGGCCCTGCGGGACCTTGTGCAGTTCCGCAGGGCCTGTAAGACGGAGCTCTTCCACCAGGCGTATGAGTAGGAGCCGCCACTACCATCATCATTATTCCATCTTCACCTGGCCCTGGATGAGGGAACATCAGTGCTTCCCTGGAGCAGACGATGCTGAACAGTTGAAATATGCCATCTTTGAAATTTCATGTTGAACACCTTGAGCACTTTAGTCAATAATTTTTTAAGAATGTTTTTGTACTGTTGGGATTTTAAATGGTTTTAATTATGTTTTATATTGGCGTTTGCCCCTATGTAAGCCGCCCTGAGCCCGCATTGCGGGGAGGGCGGGGTATAAATTAGATCAAATAAATAAATAAATAAAAATAGTGCACATACATATATAGAGTTATTCTTAGTATTTATAGCTGTAGTTTCATCATTGAATTCCGAGTAAACATTGGCTCACTTGTAATACAAATGCAGTTTGTTTTTATTTTTGTCATTGTGCTTGTTAGGTGTTGTGGTATTCGGTGTAAGTAGTCTCTGATTATTGTTCTGCATGTTTATTTATGTGGGATTTGAATGAGATCAGAGAAATTCACGATCAGACACAGAGCCAGGAGAGTGAAAGAAATAGAAATGTTTAGTGTGTGAAAGTGTCCCTAGGAGAGGATCAGGGTGTGATATATAGGATTGTGTGGTTGGCAGTCATGTGTTAGGATATAGTGTTAGGATCAGAGGTCATTTCGGGGGGGATCACAGGGGGATCGCAGTTCCCCCGGGTGAGGTACAGGGGGCGGGGCACATGTCAATCTGGCTACTGCATAAGTTAGTTTGCTCTGGAGCCCTCCTTCCTGAGCTAAGACAAAAATGTGTGAGCTGGAGGCTAAAAATCTGTGGGCTAGCTCACACTAACTCAGCTTAGAGGGAACACTGGTTAGGTTATAGTGTTAGGATAACACAGTCATGTGTTAGGATATCATCAAAATCTGTTTGCTTTGGGCAAATCTCGGACCTTTTGATCTTATCTGTGAACTTCTCCATGATGGTGGTCCCAAACCTTTCTTTGTTGGGGCCGAAGGAGACTTCCACACAGATGCTATTGAAGTCTTCACAGCTACAAGTAGACTTGTTCCTAGCTCTTGTCTTATCTTAGGTATATTAGTGCCTTGCCAGTCATCTAGGAAAATTAGTTCTGGTGTGAGAGGTATGTCATCTCCGATGCGCAGCAGAAGTCACATCAGCACATCGCCAGTGACATCGCTGGGATGCCAGGTCAAGACTTCCCCCTGCTGCTGCTAAGTACCCCTGCCGGGCAACTGATTGGCGGTGGGAGGCAGTGGTTAGGGGCGCGGGATCCCTCACCCCCATCAGGGATTCGGCAGTCCAGTCCACACATGTACTTCCTTCAAGCTCAGTTTCAAATTCCTGAATAGGGATGGGCACGAACCTCCTCACAAACCTAATTTCCTGACAAACATTGGCCCTGGTCACATGGGCCAGATAACGCGGGGGGGGGGGAGGCGTGGCTGTTCGCATCGGAGCAAAGTAAAGCACGGTAGCCCGATCACATGGTCTCACGAGTCTCCGTGCTTCGCCTGTTAGCTGGCGATCACACAGCGATGCTGCAGCATGGCAAAGAAGCGGCGCGGTACAATCACGCATGCGTTTCGCGTTTGTGCGCATGCACAGTTCCGTGGAGCAGCACTGCTTTCAGTTTCGTGTTTGTGCGCATGTGCTTACGAAAAACATCCGGTTTGCGATGGGACGTGGACGGGCGCAGGATGCCACGGGATACTAGCCTGTGCCATGCGTCTTCCAGATATTAGTGTACTTTCCTTGGTACTTTTTAACTCCGTATCTTTGGTGGGATGCCACGGGTTGGCCACGGGTGTGCTACACTTCCCAGATGTTGCCGTGTGATCGCACCTGAAAAATCCACCAGACATTTGTGTCTTTCGCGTGGCAAATTCTTTGTGTGACCGGGGCCATCATTGGTTTGTGCCCATCTCTGTTCCTGAAATTTGGCTGCTCAGGGTCAGCTCAGTGTGTTTTGCCACTCCTCATGCCCTCCTTCCCACTCCCCATCTTGGGCCCTGTTGTGAACCTCTTTCCTGCTGTCCTCCCAAGGAAAAATTTGTGTGTGTGTGTGGGGGGGGTTAATTGCCTCCTCCCATGTTGCCCCTGAGAGCTTCAAAGTGAAATGCAGAGGATCTCTGCGGCTGGGA